TGAACTAATAGAGATGATTGGGGATAGATTCAGGAAAATGTAAAGAACACGAAAGTTTTAGTGTAATGACTCGGCTTGACTTGGAACCCTAATTATATTACTCTTTAGCTGTGTAATTGTGAACAAATCATGTGTTCTGAGTTCATTAATCATCTATGAAACGTTATGAGAACTAAGTGGAATAAAGTGAGTAAATTCTATGTATGTTTTGTGAGGTACACTACAAATACGAAGCATTATGTCTACTGTGGCACAATGAGTTGTGGATAAATTGGAGATTAATACTATGCCCATGAAAAGCTATGCATTAATAAGACCCCCTGCGCTGTGGAAAGTTTCCCTGGTGCTCAAGTGGCTGGGATTCGTCCATATGCATCCTTCAGACAAAGCAATCCTGGATAAATGTCATAGTCTCTTAGTTTCCAATGTCCTCATCTGAAAGATTGGAACATTAACATTTCTGTTGTCATTCTCAAGGAAAATAGGAAGTGGCTGGGGAAACAGAAAACACATTGGGAAAAGGATCAGCCTTGGAGGTAGATTTTGTTCTACTCACAAATATTTACCTAGCGCCTACTGTGTGCCAGGCATTGGCCTTGCTGTCTGAGAAAACAGGCTTTAATCAGATAATCACATGACCAAATATGAATGTTCTAGAAGAAGACATGCATAGAGAACAGCACTTTCTCATATAGCAGACTTTTTAAGGAGTCCATAGTCCAAGAGGTGAAGTATACCATGCCAGTTGGTGGAAGCAGCGGTTACAAAATCCAGGCTAGGTGTGGACAGGCTTTCCAGTCCTGTCTCAGGCTCTCAGTAACTGTGTGAACCTGGCTGGTCCTTGAATTTCTTTTAATCTATTTTTCCAACTGTATGTTGGAAAGTAAGAATGAGGACAACACAGGGCTTACTCTGAGGTTTAATGAGATAGTATATATAGAGAACTGCATGGAGAACAAGATAGATGTTGCCAGGTTTGAAGGACTGTTTCCCAAGGTGACAGTGGCTATGGGCACTCAAGAACATGGAACTAGTAGTTTATTCTGCAGGCGTAGGGCATTCTGACCCTGCTCAGCTAAGATTCAGATCATATCCAGTCCATAGGCTTCCTCAAACAGACTTACAAGATCTGAGAGAAGGTAGTTTCCTCTGGCATCTGGGTGTCTCAGTGTCCTAGTAAGAACTAGGTGAAGTCCCTGTGACCACTTCAGGCCTTGGTATAGCTCCCATTGATCAATCTGTGCACAGGACCAAGTGAAAGCAACTTCGCTTAGCAGAGGAGCCAATATAGGTTGCCCAGCCATCCTGGCTTTCCCAGGACAGTAGGCTTTTACTGCTAAAGCCAGGGCAGTTCTGCACTAGCCTGAATGGCTGGCAGCCCAGGTCTAAGCTCTAAGCCCATTTCATCCAAAACCACATGTCTCACCAAGTCAGGTGGTCACTCACAGCTGTCTATGGACGAGGACTCCCTTTCTGGGGCAAGCTGGGGACCAGGGTGCTCAGAGTGTGGCTCTGCAGGGCAAGACCTGTGTTGGAATCCTTAGTGCCACAACACTTTTGCCACAAAAATGAAAAGTGACAGTGGCACAGAACATTTAGCACGAGGTCTGGCACGTGGGCATCGGTTGTCCATTCTCACCAGTAACTGAGTGGATCTTTGTTCCCACTTCACACCCAGGTGGGGATGACGCACGTATAAATTTCTCTTCCTAGCAGCCAGAAGCTACCGAGCTGCTGCTACATGGCATTAAGATACTATATTGTGCTGAGAAACTTTTACAAAGATGATAAGCCTGCTGTCTCTCATAGTTTGGGATTTGCACACTTCCCCCTGTTTAGCATCTGTATTGTAACAGTATATTATGGAAACCTCACCTGGTGTGCTGTAAGCTCAATCCCAAGGAAATTAGTATTAAATATTGTGATCTTCACTTCAAGATAGAAGGGCTGGGCACATTCCACTGAACTGGAGGTATGTTTCCATAGGGAAGGAGGAAATTTCATAAGGTAATGCAATATTAAAAATGTCGCCCAGCTGAGCATTCCATGGAGGGCCTTGTGTGGAGTTTTAATCTCTTCACCTGTTGGTGTTAAGAGAAAAAGAGAGATATTGGGGGGCGTTGGGGAGACAAGGAGGGAGAAGAAGCGCTTATGTGAACGGGGGAATCACAAGCAAAGGGGAGGGGGAAAATTTAAATGATCCCAGACCGAACTGTTTTGCTGTTAATACAGAAATACAGTGCAAGACACATTTAATGGGCTCTATTTTTTATTATACTATGCTGAATAATTAAGTTTGAGGCTAAGTGTCACATGGATTTATCTTTTAATTAAAAAAGCATGGTTCACGCATATTTGAGTGGTAGTCCAAATAAATGCAATATAGAAATTTATGTTTGTTTATCTAGGTGTTAATTACCTAGAGATTGTTCTGGATTACTTCTTTTTATAAAGTGTCATAGGCTCGTTGTCAGAAGGAATAAAGCTCACCCATGGAACCTTATCAATTTGCTAACTATAGTCCTGGCCTGACCTGGGGGGGAGGAGGGGCAAACTTTGGGGATTGTTATGTATACACACGCCCCCATTCAACCCACACCAAATGAAACAGTCGTTTTAGAAAATATTCCTTGGACATAAAGGCACAAATATATCTTCGTTGTTTTACAGCCTCTTGTCCACAGCTATTTATAAAACATGTGATTATTTATGCATCAGGTTATGAGAAGTTCGCTGGGAGAGGCGGTAAAGGAAAGGGGGCTCCATCAATCCCGTTACCTGGTAGCTGGGGCGAGCCAGAGGGAGGGCAGGGTCGCCCAGGGAAAAGTGGGCTGAGACAGGAAGCTGGCTGCTGCTGTTTCTCTAAAACGTGTCAGTTTTGCTCTTATCAAATCCAGGCAGTGGGAGAAAAAGGAGCTTCAAAGCTGAAGGCCAGGGGTCACGTTTCTTGGAGTCCCCCACAAAGTGTTCTTCACTTCTTCAGGCACTCCTTGCTTTGTTCTTTGTTTCCAAAGTGCTTTTGGGCTGCAGGTTCAATCAAAGGGCTTGGAAGGAAACAAAAACTTTGGTCAGGAGGTTCGACTTCAAAGAAATAATTGTTGCAGGGACGGACAGAAGGAAGTCCGCTGTGGTCTGTAAAACTCCACCTCAGGGTGCACACTTCTGTCCAAATTTCTTTTTCTCACCTTCTTAGCACTGCCTCGTCTTTTATGTAAGCCCAGACAGATCTCAAACTCAGGTTGAACCTCCTGCCTCAGCCTTCAAGTGCTGGGATCACAGGCGTGTGCCACCCAGCCTGGCCCGCTAGCCTATTTTTGCTGCATACTACAATTTTTGGGCTATCAGATACCAGAAAATGAAGCGAAGTAACTGTGCTCCTGATGGACTTTGCCTTGCACGATGAGCCCTTTCCTGGGTCTCAGAGACAGCGACCACGGGGCAGACAGACAGCCACGCTCAGGCTGAGGAGAGGGGAGCCACGGAAGCCCTTCTGCAGCCCCGGGCTCAGGGAGGAGGCTTTCCTTGGGGAAGGTTTCATTTTCATTTTCTGTTTCCTTCCTCTGGGCGCCCAAGAGGACTAATGGGGCGGGTCGCCCTCAGGTCCGCGACCTCGCTCCTGGCTGTGCGCCTGGAGAGGTGGCCCGAGCCTGGCTCTGCGCGGGGCGCGGCGCCAGGCGGGGGCGCCCGGGGCCCTCGTGTCGCCGCGGGGGCGGGAGCGTCCTTGGGCGCCGACTCGCTGCAGCTCTGGCCTCCGGATCAGCCCCGCGACTCCGAGGACCAAAGCAGTAAAGAGTGTGGGCCGTGGAGGACGATTTGCCCCGCCCACAAGAGCGATGTCTTGGTCTTCAGTCCCCGCCGAAGTACGGGACCCACGCAAAGGGCGCGGGGGCTGGCGATGCCTGCTGCTAACTCTTCCGTCGCAGACCCCGGCGACGACTGAATATCTTCAACTATTGCCACTTAACTGTACTATCCATTCAACCGCTGCCTGCCCATGTCCTCTCTACAATCACTGCTGCTAACAGAAATTGGGGCCCAGAAGCAAAGGGGTGACGGGTGGGGGACCTTGGGGATGGTGGGTCAGTTTTTCTCACCTAAGGCTTTGGTGAGCACCGCGCTGGGTCTGAGCTCTGTTCCCTACACCTCCCCAGGGGCCCGAGAGCAGCAGGACACTGCGCAGTGAGGTCGGAGATCCCCTTCGGATTAGTGGTCAAAGAAGGCCAGAAGCCCTTGCTTCTCCTTGGAGAGCTGTTTCCATAGCGCTCTGGAGACGCAGCCCGCAGGGTTCCGCGGAGGCGCCTCTGTGCCCAGGAATAGCGTTTTAAAAGTGAAATTGTGTATCATTCAAAGTATTGCCACTTATTGCTGCTTCTCTTCAAACCCTTGAGCGGTGTGAGGTGGAATCAACCGTTGCAAAACCTTTACAATATACACAGCGTTGTACAGCTACAATCGTGTTATGTTCCTTCCAACGCATGGTAGGTACCTCCGAAGAAAACTCGGTGCTCATTAAGCAGTCATGCCCAGTCCCACCCTACCGGCTTCTGCCCAACACCTGCTGCGCTGTCTCTACAGATTGAATGACTTATTGTGAATATTTCATATAATGTGGAACCATGCAGTGTGTGGTTTTTTATGTCTGGATTATTTTGCCAAGTGGAAAAAAAAATGTTTTTAAGATTCATTCTCGTTGTAACAAGCGCCTGTCCTGCTTTTCTGTGACCTGTTCTGGCCGTGCCAGTCTCTCACGTCATCTTTCAGTTGGTGTCAATGCTCTGTCTCTAACCAAATGTATTTCACACTGGCCAAACCGGGCCTTACCCCAGGGCCATTGCATCCGCTGTTTCCTCTTGCCTTTTCCTGCTTGGCGCCTTCCTTGTCTTTGATTTTCAACTCCAAGAGAAACTTTCTTTTCCAACTGCATTTATTGGTCCCTAACTGCTGCATCATACCAACAGCCCATCATACTATTTCTACCTAGCTGAGGAAGTGATCATTCTCTGAAAATCTGTCTCTGTCTGTCTGTCTGTCTCTCTCTCTCTCTGCATACTTATTTTCTACTGCCCTTACTGGACTGAAGACTCCGAGGACAGGGCTCCATCTTTAATAGTTTTGGTACAAACAATGCCCCACGTGGTATAAACATTTATAGAATAAAATCACACCCCAATTATCTTTGATAATAACTGCTAGAATATTGTGGACATTGTGCAAGCTTTATAAAAAGCAATTTCAGGGCTGGGGAGGTGACTCACTGGTAGGGGAGAGGAAAGGAAGGGGCGTGCAGGGAGGGAGGGAGGGCGAAAAGTCAGCTGGGTGTGGCACTTTGGAAGGCTGAGACAGGAGGATCACAGATTCAAGCCCAGCCTGGATGACTTAGCAATTCAGCAAGACTCTGACACAAAATAAACAGTAAAAACAGTCTACAGTACTGCAGCAAAATAAAACAGAAACAAGAAAAGAGATCCCTTTAGCTGTCAATGGAAAAGAGGTCTCCAAACAAAGCTGAATATCAACTCAACTTGGCAGCAGACTGGCAGCGTCCCAGAGGAGGACCTGCTGTGATTGCTCCTTTGCCTTTGGTATGGGCCTGTACCTGGCTGTGGGGGAGAAAGGCCAGTGTCAGCTGTCCTGAAGGGCTGGACCAGCTCCCTGCAAAGTCAGTGAGCACTGCCTTGTGGGAAGCCACTCCCAGAAAGCCTGGAGCCAGATCTGCCACATGGCTGCCTCCCTCCTGTCTGCACCTGAATTTCCTCATCTGCTTTCATCTGCCATGTAGGCTCCTGGGATCATGGGAAAGTGAGGGGTCCTCACGTCAGCTACTGCCACAATCATCAGTACTAAAACCGGCATGTGCTTTCCTGGTGCCAAGGTGTGGGCAGGGGCACCAGAGCCCTGCAGCCTGGTCAGCGCCAGCTGGGGCCACCGCAGTTCCTTCTTCTGTCCTGCTGACCCTGGCCACCCTGGTGCCGGTGACCCCGGGGTCAACTCCTCTTCTTAATGCCTTTCCATTTCTCCATTTGCTGACGGAGGTGATTTTCGGTGAGGCCCACATAAATACTTCAGAACTAATTCACGATGAGGAGGAACACTTCTGGGATGGATGATGGCACGGCGAATTAAACGCTTTAGAAGGCTGAGTGTAAATTATTTTAATGCATGTAATAGATCCACCCAGGGAGACTAGAGTCCCTTCAGGTCAGGCCTCTTCACCCCTGGGGCTCAGAGGGTGGTGGGAGCAGGTGGCTCGGAGCCTGCTCTGCTAGGGTGTGAATCATTTTCCTCTGCAAGGACCTCCTCCCCCTGCACTTAGGTCCTCCTAACCTGGGACGAAATAGGAACAGTCCGCGTCTGGCCAGGCAGAGCCAGGAGCCAGCTGAGGCAGTATGAGAGCATTTGTCAGCCGTGACGCTGGCCTGACCCACACCCTGCCTTCCATTCATTGCCTGCTGCCTTCCAGAGAGGAGAGGGTTGGAGGAATGCTGATGTGTGGTACCAGACATTTAAAATATTTTGTTTCCTTCAGATGTGTGGGGCCACATGACTAATGGTTCAATTCAGGCCATCAACAATCACGATTTGCCTTTAGACTCATTGTATGTTCCTGCTGGAAGAAATCTTAGAGGTCTTTGTGTCCTACCACCCATTCAGAAGAAGAGTAAGAGCTCAGAAAAGCTCCATGTGTTGGACTTTGTGTCTCAAAAGGTAGAAATCAGTGCACTGGTTCTGAGATTCTCCATGCAGTATTGATGGAGCACTGGTTAAAGAAGGTTGTGGGATTTTGAAAGTACTGAAGCGAGCTGGTGATCCCAGAGAGAAAAATTCATGGGTACCAGAGTGTGCAGCTGTTCCCCTGGTGGTCAGGCAAAGAAATCAGGGTAGTAGCACCTTTTCGATTTCTTTTTTGATCCCGGAGATTGAACTCAGGACCTTGCACTTGCCAGGCAGGCGCTTATGCTGCTGAGCTCTCTCCCTGGCCCCCAGGCAGCATTTTTTCACGTTGACCAGTTTTCCCCTTCTGGAGAGAAGTGTTCATTCACTCAGTACTTGGGGATCACGCAGATGACCTGGGGCATGAGCTGGCCATTGGCCCCACAGCTGTGGACAACACACAGGCCCTGGTCTCAGGGGACTCACAGGTGATTGATGACTTGAGCAAGGACACAAATCAGGCAAGCTACAGTGACTCAGGCATGTGCTTGCTGAGTTCTGGGACAAGTTACCCTGCACAGACAGCTCCCTGGTGGCCATTCATCTGCAATGGCACTTCCTCCCTCGGTGACTTCGTCCTGCACATCAGAGTCAAGTAATAGGGACAGAAAGTTAAAAAAGAATTAACACTTCCTAGGGCCTGCGAGATAGCTCAGCAGACTAAGTGTCTGCTTAGTCTAGTGCAGGGACCGGGGCTGATCCCAGGCACCACATACTGTGCCAGCCCTGCCCCTGGGTGCGCTAAGCTGGCCACCGAGACTAGAAACAGTGGCCTCCCAGTGCTGAGGAGACTAAGAACAGGAGTATCACGGTTATGGTTTGTGTCTAGTTATCCCCATAAAGCCTCATGCAGTGATGGGGCAGTTTTGGAGTTGTGGTAGATTCTTTTTTCTTTTTTAAATTCCAAAAACTTTCTTTACTATTATTAAAACATTTTTTCAAAGTTTTATGATAAACAGATAGCAATGAGACAGTTTCAAATCAAATCGGAAGTACAGTTTCAACAAATAATACACTGCATGTATTCTTCTTAGTGGTTAATTGCTGTACAAGATGCAGACTTGTGATCCTATTTACAAACACCATTAGAACAAATCATTCTATTCATTAAGAGAATGCAACTATATATCTATCCCAACCACTTTGAATACACAGATACAAAATGGACATTCATAGTTATACCCCATTTTTTTTAAAGTACCGTTATTGAATATTATAGGTGTGTAAACTCAGCAAAAAAATATTTTTTTGAAAACATTCATTCTATTTATTGTTTAGCTAAAACATTTTTAATCGATCTAAGATCGTAATTGGCAATATGCATTTCTTTGATTCCTCACTTTCTTTAGG